TGTAAGTCAAACATTTTTTTTAACAATAAAGTGTGAGGCAACAATTCTTATCACAAACTCGTTGTCTAAAAAAAATGTGATAGGTTTCCATTAAAAAAAAATTTTACTATGTTTATCTCGTAAATAGAAACAATTAATTTATATTGAAGTTTTTTTTGTATAGCATTTTTATAGCCATTGCACACCTACAAATTTATTTGCCAAAAAAAAATTATAGTTTCGCCAGAATAAAATCGTTTCCAGACTTTTGGATCAGCCTGTATGTTTGCGTATTTGGTGCACTTGTTTGGATCATTCATTTTGTCCTAAATATTGATTCAAAGGACAAAAAATACAAAATTTTGGAAATCATCGACAAATTACGTCATTATTATTACGCTTTTAACTGATAACGATTGTTGATTATGTTCCTATTATCTTATTTTTTACTCTAGACAATAATTTAATTTACTTTAAATAAGTTTCTAATACTGATAAACATCTCCAGACTACTTCTGTGGTAATTTTTTTTTCATAAATAACTGAACGACGCACTTTTACACATTCTTTGTTTTTAACTCTCATAGACAAAACTTTTTCACAGTTGTAAAAAATGATTCGTAAAATAATCGTAACATAGTTGGTGTTATCTGTGGTACTTTTTCTAATTATTATTTATTGAATTAATTATTTTAATTGAAATAATTTCAAGGAACACCAATTAATGGACGAATCGTCAACGGTACTGATGCCCAAGAAGGCGAATTCCCTTACATTGTAAGTAAAAAAAATATCGGCAAACGTCATAAAAGTGTCCACTTTTGTGACTAAATGGCCAGCCATGGAGTAAAAATTCTATTTTTGCACCTAAGCATTTTTACTTTTGCCCTACTAACTGCACTAGTCTAAGCGTTGTTATACTCTGTTTGTTCATTCATAAAATAGTATATGTCATTCGGAATAAAAATATTTACTACTTTTACTCCTAATAACATAACTATTTTGTTTTACTGATTTTTTTAAGGTGTGCGACTTTTTGGTAACCACAATTATTGTGCCTGTGTTTTGACCGCAGCCCACTGTGTTGTTAATTAAAATATATAAAATCGTTTTCAGACTTTTGGACCACCAAAAAAACACTCTTTAAGTAAAATCAACAATTTTAAATCACAGTATCATAAAGATTTTATTACGAAGAAGGTAAGTTTGTAAATAATAAAATGAAGGAAGGGTTGGAGATTAAAACAGAATCGCTGACGACAATTGGCTTAGAGCGAAAGCTTCAAATATTTATCAAGAGCTTTATTAGGGTCCGACTATATTGCTTCATTAGCTAAATTTGTCCTTTAAATGTCTACTTATTTATTAATTCAACTGTAATCACGCTGATTCAGGCCTTTTTCACTTGCTGAGACTTGGACTGAATAATTTACACGAATCTATTTGCTTGCGATTTTACTTTTATTAAATTTTTTTTTACTTTCCTTATCCTTTAAATTTGACCTACTCAGAGCTAGAAACTTGAAATTTGGTATATAAGGGGACGTAGCACGAAGCAATTGGTAAAAATCGGTCGCACCGTTCGATCGCAAAAATTATGTAGAATCATGAAATATACCTTTTTAAGTAAAATGTGATAAAATAAAAATAATAATGGGTACCGAACTAAAAAAAATTGCACCCCAGACTCGAACCTGCGGCAACTATGAACTATTTCGCGTGTAATCCGGCAGGTGGCACTAACGCAAACGTTAGGTTTGCTACTCGTAAGGATGTTTTCCAAATAAGTTGGACAAGGAAAGTCGTGTGATGTTCACACCAGATTTTTTTAACTTGAATGAGATTCGTTATTTTGATTGATTAAAGAATTAGATGAGCAATAGTGAATTTTTTTTTGATTACTCAATGTTTGGTTTTATGGTAAACAAAAATATTTTGAAACGTGTGTTGTTGCTGTAGCAATTCCATTATCTTAACAATGCGAAACCTATCTATTATTTATAGCAAATTTGTCCTTTGATGACCACACACATTATTTAGGGTAATTAGTTCAGCTCAAGTTTAATCAATAATGTATTTAAGTGAAGAATGGTTTAAATAAAACACCCACGTCTACAATTTGAATTTTATTTCACTCTCGTTATAAACTTTTTTACAACTATTTGTGTCACCCTTAGATACATAACTTAACCGGTAAACTATTTACCACAAATATAAAAATAGTTGTGTGAACGGTAAAAATATGTGTATAACATTTAGTAACTCCTACATTTTTTAAATTAAATCAGTACAGACTTAATTGTACAAAAAAATAACACTAAAGTACCAAATCAAATTCGAGTCTTGGGGCCCAAATACTGTTTAAGAATATTCCATCTCCTCTACTTCATTTTCAGGAACAACGGCGTACATTTTCCGCAATTTTTCATAATGTTTTTGATCCTGAAACCATAATTAAACCAAATGAAATTTAACCAAAAAACAAACCTTCTCAGGCACAGACGGTCTAATTTTCGCAATAGCTCGAGTAAAATGTTCCATATTAACAATCAAAGATTTTTGCGTGTCCCCACACAACATAAACTCCTTCAAAGCCACAATCCCGGCTTCTTTAACCAATGCTGCCAAATCGGCCCCCGTGTACCCCCGGCATTGCTCCGACGTCGCTATAGCTTCAAGGTCTACATCGGGGGCTAAACGAGGCCTTGTACCATTTCTCGTAATAGCCCTCAAAATCTCAATCCGGTCATTTGCTGTTGGTAAACCCACAAATAAGATTTTGTCAAAACGGCCCGGCCTTAAGACCGCCGGATCGATAATATCAGGTCTATTACTCGCAGCAAGGAGGTAAACCCCTTGTCGGTCTTGCACACCATCCATTTCGGTCAACATTTGGTTAACGACACGCATCGTAGCCCCGCCCTGAAATGGACAATATTAACCAATCGAATTAGTTTAATCAAATACCTCTCCAATAGAGGATAATAATAAATCTTTTTTTTTTTAAGAAAAAAAGCCTGTGAAAGATTTTGATTTATTATTATCCCCTATTTAAATATTTAGTGTTCAATCTTAACCAATCGAATTAGTTTAATCAAATACCTC